ACTTATACTTTTTCTTCAACCCTGAAGATGGGGGCGATACGTTCCTCCGAAACGTCGGTTAACACCACATATACACGGTGCCAAATCCCAGAAGACTGCTTTCTTCATAGTCACCGCCGTGAAAGCCTCAAATCTTACAACCATGCAGTAGTTCTCAAAGCTGCCATCATAAGAACTCCCTGACATCCTCCCTCAGACAGATGCTGTTACAGTTGTACTGATTCGTGATCACAGTAGAGGCTAGGTGAATTTGTGATTGCATTACACTACATCTGATATTCTGCTGTCACCTGACTTAAAGTAAGTACATTTGTTTTGACTCTAAAACAGAAAATTGAAACATTACAGATTGGAAAATGACGAAAATCACATGATAATTCAGTTCTGGAAGAATCTGTGCATCTGGCACACCCCATTTTCCATTCATGCTGGCCAATGGAGCTTATGGTAGTATGTATCATGGCTGATATTTCTCATCTCTCTTCTCCTATAATGGCATGTTTCGGACAGTATTTACTTAACCTTTAAACGCCGGACTTCTGAAATAGTGGTAAGCTTGAGCTGGCTGGAGTTTATTTAAATTCCTGCTGCTGGTGCCCGTTTAAATGACCGTTGTTACTCTGCGTTTAAATGTCCGTTTCTGTTAGTGCGCCTAAACAATTTTAAGCATTGTGTTAAAAATGCTGTATCTAATTCAATTTTTATGATAAATGGATGGAATTAATTTTGTTTGTATCAGCAAAGAATATTCTGTCGCATATTATAATGGAAGATTTGAAATTTTTTATACAAATTATACTCCATTTTCAATTTTTTGTCTTTTAATTTTGATGAATACTGCAAAAATGATTTCCCAGTTCTTCACAGAGTTGTTCTGCATTACAAATTCATTTCTGTTTGTAACACTTGACAAATTTTAGCAGTCCCTGATGTCATAAAACAGATGGAAGCAATAAAATCATTTGGTCTTCTGCTAGCACTGCTTACACTCTTCGGATTTTCAAATCTTTTGACTGAAGGTCAGAAGAATGAAAGAATGGCTATTCAAGAGAGAGCTAGAGGGGTTCCTTCTTCAGTTCTAAGACCTTCCGTTATAGCTGCAAAAGCTTATTGCCCTTTCTATGGGCCTGAACAGACAGCTGCATCGTGGCTGAGATTCAGAGTGCGATCTGTTTTCTGTGCGTGCTTAGTGAAATCGAATACTGTAGTTTTATTTCAGCCTAGATATACATCAAGCAGATAACAACAAAAAAGGTTGTACATCGAATTTTACTATATATTTTTAACACATTAATCTGCAGAATCTGCAATAAAAGTACTGGCTCGTGGATGAGTTTGGGCATAACTCATACGTATACTCTTTTTGTTGTTGTTCACCTAGGTATCATTTTAATTTTTCTATTAGGGCTTTACTCAAGTCTGTCTGGTAATTACTACATTTAAAAATAAATATTTAGGACTGTGCATTCGTTTCTACTAGCGGCGTGTGCGCGCGCTTCCCCTAGCGGAGTTTAAATGCCCGACTGGCCAAAACGGGGTACTTTGGCCACGACAACCTTACTCACCACTGGCACAAACGGGGCACTTCGGCACTTAAAGGTTAAACTGTACTAAGACAAATGGATAGGGACAAAAACAAGAGAATGAATGATAAAATGACTGGGAAAGAAATAGGGAAGAAAGAAGGCAACATTACAAAAGCTTATGCAATAAGTGCAGAGACTTCCTGTTCTGTCAGTCTGATCAGATGTGACCTATGTAAGGTAAAGCTATCCCTGTAACAGGTCATTGAGACTTCCACATTTTTTGGACGAGTGTAACAGACACAAAAATGTTTTATGGATTCTAGTTGACGGGTAATTTTTTTTTAGTATACTGAAGTATAACACGTCACATCACAGAACATTCATTCGTCTTCATCAAACCATGGCTTATGCTTCTTCAATTCATAATTACTTAGACTCTCTTTGCCAAAAATGTTGATATTCTCTCTAATAGTTTCCGAAGCCGCGAATCTATCTGAGATTTCAATTTCGAATATTATCAGAGCTTGGGAACATCAAAAATTTACCACAGCTAGCCACGAACAAACCTTGGACGACATTAAGAGCCTCCTTATCAAGATAGACAGCGGCACAAAATCTGCCCCATACAAGGGCGATAGGAATACGGACACGAACCTACGTGGTTTATAAAATTTTAACTATTGACAATAAGTTTTTAAACAACATCTAGAAATCTTTTTAAAAAACTTTACAATACCAGGAAGCTGCTGTGATTGTGAAACGTTCAAAATTATGCATACTGTGCGTTATAGGACATGTGTATGTAATTAAATCAATACACCTATTGTGATAGTAGTTTCCAGCTTGTAATGATGATCCCTCTGAAGATGGTCCACAAGGACCGAAACATGTAAGGGTTGATAGGTTTTCATGTAGTAAAACTTATATGTCACATTGGAGGGAGTGATTTGTGTTTGTAATTGTTAGTGTGACGGACCAGAATGAAACAAAAAAAACTATATTTAGGTTAAAGAAGAAAGTCGTCTTCTGGGTTTAGGCACCGTGTATTCTTCGTATTGGCCGACGTTTCGGAGGAACGTAGTGCCTCCATCTTCAGAGCAGTTGAATGGCTTGGAATGCGGAGAGCAGTAGCTGTAGTGATAGGATGTGAAAGGCGCTATCACTACAGCTACTGCTCTCCGCATTCCAGGACATTCAACTGTCTGAAGATGGAGGCGCTACGTTCCTCCGAAACGTCGGCCAATACGAAGAATACACGGTGCCTAAACCCAGAAGACAACTTTCTTCATTGTCATCGCCATGGAAACCTCAAAACTTACATATATTTAGGTTGTTTAAAAACTGAATAAAATTTCCAGATGGAGCCCTATATACAACTATTATATAGGCTGATAGTATTTTTATTGCACATAATTCAATATCTCGTTCAACACACAATTTGTCCAAGTTAACACAGGAATAGTTAATGGAATTGTGAACAAAAATCCCAACTCCACCCATTGTAAAGTTTTTTCTGCAATACATAGCACCCCACTTATAATGGTCAATATCACAATTTTCAAATTCAAGAGAATTCAGATGATGTTCTGTTAAGCAGATAACATGTGGCCAATCAGGATATAATGCACTTGATAACTCACAGGTTTAATTCCTCAATCCTCTAATATTCTGATGAAAAATTCTAAAGTCGGATGTGTTATCATACAGACAGAAATGATGTTTAAGGTGACTACCTTTCTCAGCTGGATTATACTCTTTATAAATGTTGAGATCTGTAGAAATATGAATTGAATTCCTATTGTCCATAGGTGAATTTACCAGAAAAAATCATCCTTCCTAATTACAGGTGGCCTTTTTTGGTCGAGTTGAGGTTCTACATGGATTTCTCTTTATCAGTTACAAGTTCCTGGTGGTGTATATCTCATAATTATACCATCCCTATGACAAGGTAAATTCCAATGTATGGTAATAATAATATTTTAAAATACTTTATATATGAAACATCTTACCTTTGGCTTCAGTCAAAACTCTTTTGTTACTACAGCTGTACATCAAAACTCATATATTATTATTGTGAGGAGCCATATTTACGACTGTTTGAGATACCATGCTGACAAGTGTTCCTAGGTCTTGTAACCAACTGTAAGAAAAGCAAACATTCATATTAGCAAAGTAATCTTACTGATGGAATCATGCTGATATCACAATCCATTACTTCTCACGTTCATTAACAGTGAACCTGAAAATAATAATGTTAAATTCTGGAGTAGTTACTATAGGATTCTGCCGATGGTGTATAACACACAGAGATATTGGGTTTTCAGACTTTATTCATCATCCTGGTTTTTAAGATAACTAAGAAAAAACACGACATTTCCTTTCAGAAACTGGATCTGTTTACATCCTCAGATGAGGTAAGACACCTTTTCTGTTGGGTCCTTTAGAAAGAGCTAGCCTCAATCACTGGACAAACAATGTCACAAAACACAAAGGTTATAAACACCTGAGAACAGGCTAAGTCAATGAGAGCTACTAAGAAAAATATACATAACAAATTGTTCCAAACACGTACAAGCGTGGGACCAGGATAGATAGATCCATAGAAACGTCGTGTTTTTTTCTTAGTTATCTTAAAAACCAGGACGATGGATAAAGTCCGAAAACCCAATATCTCTGTAAATTCTGGAGGTCTACACTGAATGTAAGAGTCACGTTTAATTTAACGGGTGGATATGGGGTGTCAATCTCATTAGAAATGAGAATCAAATTAATTTTTTCAAACTCATACAACTGTTCCATTGATTTAAAACATTATGCTATAAAAACGTAGGGTTAAATCTGAAGGAAATTGTAACCGTATGTCCCTCGCCAAAATTATTTAATTAAGGGTACGAACAACTAATGCATTGTTTAATACCATTAGAGACGCTCCTCAGGAGAGATACCATCCCGGGACCGTCTAGTTGTAATTCAGCTATTGTCCTCCTTAGGCTAAGGGTGCCACTATTGTCCCTAACATCGCCTGTTTCCTCCTGGTATCATAAACCCACAAACTGACCTTGCGCGAGACCGGCTTGTGTTCCATGCTTGTGTGCCATGAAGACCTAAAAAAGTTTAGGGGCTTCTCAAAAAATACAGATGTAGTTCAGATGCCGGGCTCGAACCTTGGCTTTCTCTTTTTATGTTTCTATTTTTTCTTGTTTTTTTTTATGCCAACTGGGGGACATGTAACGAGAGGGAAGTCGGTTTTAGGGAGCGGAGGAGGACAGTTGTTGAAATGTAGACAGAAAGCAGAGAAGTGTTTTTACAGTAGTGGTAGAGAGTCAGCGGAGGAGCGGCTAGCTTGGAGAATAATGTAAATATTGATCATCAATGGAACTTTAAATTAAAACTGCAATCCACTGTGTGTTCTGGAGCCCCCGGATTCATAAACCTCGAAGTGTGTTCCACTCCCATCTCTGAAGCACCCATATCCTGAGAAAAAGAACCCAAGCTCGAGCAACGTCGTGGCAGCTGTACGTCCGAGGGCGGCTACAAAACTCACATACGGGTCGTATGAAGAAGGTCACAAGGTGAAGTTCGTGAAACACTGGGTCCCATAGGATGAGCTAACCTCACTCAATGGTCTGGAGGTTAGCTGTATTGAATTCAAAATAAAAATGCAATGAAATGAAATGAAATAAGGGAACCTACAGAGTAGGTGTCTCCTCCTCACCTGAAGACGGAAGCTTCTGAAAAGTTGTTTTTTCTAGTTTTTTAGAAGAAATGATGGACGAAGTTCGAAAACCGGTAATTCCGTATGTTTCATCGCCAGAACCATATAGAATCTAAGTTAAGTTCTACTTTCCATAATGGTTATCAGGTATATTAAGTAAATATGAGACACTTCCTTTGCATCTTAAACTTTTGAGATTTGAGCTCACAAAGCAAGTATACTTGCAGCTGGGATGCAGTTCAAAATCAAACACACTGTTCCTTGAACACTACAAAACTTCTTATAACAATGCAATCCGGTGCTGTAACTTGTTCTGAGGACTGCACAAACTAATATCAAAGCTCAAATTACACGTACCTACAGATGAATTTAAAGTTACAGTCTCCTCTCACGCTTTTTATTTTATTGTCTGTATCTCTACAGTAACTCTGTCTTGTCCCTTTTTATTATTGAGGATCTTGCAATATGAAACGTCACATCCTCGTGTGCACTAATTCTTGCTATATACATAGCTCAATTCAATCTAACACGGGGACATTCCCTTCGAATCCTTATTAACGAGTCACAACCTTTCCATATATTAACACAGTTGGCATCACTGTCTTTGTATTCCCATTTTCACGTAAAAGTTGATCAAATTAATTAATTTGTCTTTTCTTGTTAATATTTCAGAGATTAGGCCATCTGGCTTGTTTGGAATAAGAATTGATTTTGAAAAGTTGGATATATATATATTGGACATTTTTTATGCAAGGAGGGAAATTAGGCGCCTACTGAGACATCAGCGGTCAATATCACAACTACTAAATTGGTCAACCGTTTTGAACGTATTGGAGGTTGCGGTCAGAATTAAAAGTAAAGTTACAATAGTTTACGTAATTTTGTAGTAGCAAACGGACAGTAACTGTGTAAGTACATTAATTCTATCATGTAAGAATTATAAGTACTTAATATTGTACAAATTATGTTGCACTTTACTGTCTGCCAAAATCCAACATTAAATTTGCAATTAAAATTCAAATTATAATAAGTTATCCTATTAAATTCAGTAAAAACGTTTACTCCATCTTGACAACAATATTAACAAAACTTGGCTTAACCTATTGTGCATAACTTTTTCAAGTACTTTAATATTTATTAGTCCACCATATATCCATAAGGAGTACAATTCCAGCTGATGTAGTTACCATCATTAAGTATATGCAAATAGCTGTGCAATAGTGCACCTGTCAGCAACATACATAACAAATTGTATAACATGCGAATAAAACAAATAAAAAAAATAACAATCCAGAAAAGTTATAAAAGAAACAAGTACAATTCAGTATTTATGCTTAGAAGTAAAAATACAGTGATAATTAAAACACTCTGCAAAGATACATGATCAACTGTGCAACAGGGCACTTGTCCAAATGTATTAAAGAAAAAGATATATATACAGATTGTTTTTATGGTAGAAACAAATTACAACAATATACTCCATGGGGCACTTGTCCAACAGAGACAGGTACAGGTAAACATACCAAAAAGTTAAAAGACCTAAAAAAAAATATGTAAACTTCAACATCTATGTTTCGAGTGTCTGATAATTAAAATACTCTTTCAGCGAGTAGTAAGAACCAGCATACAAGAATCTCTTTAAGGCTGCCTCAAAAGATTTGTGATCATTTGATAATTCGAGTTTCGCAGGCAAGTGATTAAAGATCTTTATGCCTGAGTAATTAGCTCCCCTTTGAACTTGTAGTCATAGAAACACTTGGGGGAAATAAATTGTTTTGTCTAATACAGATACTATGAATTTCAGAATTCCTTAAGAACACGTGTCTATTATTTACAATGTATTGCATCAGGGAATACACGTATTGAGAACACAATGGTAAAATTTTCATTTCCCGGAATGAATCCCTGCACGAAACTCTTTTCTTTAGGGAAAGTAGTTAGCAGTGAAATTGACCTGCAGTTTGACATACTAGTCTTGTCCCCTTTTTTGTATAGTGGTCTTGCTACTGAAATCTTAAGACGATCAGGAAAGATTCCTGTGGATAACGAGTGATTACAGATGTGAGTTAATGGGCTACTGATTTGAGATGCACAAACTTTTAAAATTTTACTTGTTATTCCATCATAACCTGAAGTTTTTTGTTTTGTTTTGAGGGAATGTATTATACTTTTTATTTCAGTTTCAGTGGTTGGAATGGTTTCAATACCAGGGAATTTTGTACGAAATGCCTCTCTTAAAAATGAAATGACATTATCTCCCACTTCCTGATGCAAGTTTAGATTTTCTGTAATTGTTAGAAAAAAAGTATTGAAGGCATTTGCAAACACATGGTATAAAATTTACAATTAAATATAAAATAAATGATATAATGATACAAATTCCGTCCCAAGTGCAAACAATATATTATGTGTCCTTGATCTTGTTCACCCACACTACATGTTTCGGCTACAGACGGCCATCATCAGGTGTATAACACTCACGTCGCTGTCACACTTCACTCAGCCCAAAATTTAACATTTAAAACCCTTTCCTTGTTATTATCAACATCTACTTCGTTGATATCTGTCTGGATGTAGATCACTTTACACACGTTAATTCTGACGTACCTGTAGTAGCACTATAAAATCTTTAGTTCTAATTTTAAAATCCTTTAAAATTTTTT